GAGGCGTCAAAACTTCAACCATGCAACAAGTTAAATAAACAAAAATGTAAGAGGGTTCGCATATAGAACACTGAGTGGAGACGCATCTTATTTGCATTTATCTGGGGAATGCAAAGCCTGGGATAGTCCACCACTGCTGGGTCCCACACACACACACACTGGCATGCACAAGAGTTAAAGGGTTATACAGTTTCTAGTTCACTTTCTACCCAACGCAGTTCCAAAGCACAGGGCTCACTGGTTATTCAGCATAATGGAAAGCTGCATCCGAGTGTGTGTGAACCCTTTGTCTGTTTTAAGAGCACTCGGTGTCTTAATGATCCAATACTAATTATGGTTACGCATAAGTGTAGTTTTAGTCGTGTTAATCCAAGGAGACAAGCCTGAGGAATAATGGTTAGATTGTCTTGTCATGAAAACTGCCCAACAGTCGATCAACAGAAAATGAATCCACAAAATTGATGAATGGTTATCAATTGCCCTCGTCATAATGCATTCAATTACCTTTCAGTGTCTTATAGCCTTCATAGTGGCAGACTAGATGCTTACAGCATTGGCGCCTCTCGCAGTTCAGGATATAAAGAGATTTTGAAATAGTTTTTCGGAAGCTTCAACCCCTCAAGTACCAAGCCAAGTTCCCATTTATCATCTTCTTAGCTCCTGGTGCCATGATTATTGCAGCAGGGACCGGCCCTCTCTTCTCAGCTGCAGAGTCCCTCCGAGTTCGGAAAGAGCTTTGTGCAGACGTCCACGCTGCGTTTATAATCTGAGGAGGGCGTGGTGCCTGATGTCACTCAATAGGAACCAGCTCTTCTTTTTTCTTCCTTTTGGCAAGTTTGCACAAGACAAACTATTGTTGAAGATACTCGTGCTCTACATACATAACAGAACAATAAGAAAATAAATAAAAATCTTTAAATAAAGAATTTACCATCCTGCAGCTTTAAATTCAGTTAATTCAGGTGTGAAGTAATGTCAATCACAAAAGGCACGATATAGCTCAGTACTTAGTTACTTTCCACCACCGCATCTATAAACCACAACTTGGATATCATGAAAACCTCGGATTCAGTTGAAACTTTGTTTTCCACTTCTTTGAAGCCAGTTTCAAAAAAACAAAAAAACAAAAAAAAACAGAACTCACACATGCTGATTTTGTTCAATTATACATTTATTGCTACACATCATTCAATTATTTTCAAAGAACACATTAGGTACATTGGAGTGTTGAGGCATTACTTTAAGGTGGCTGCTTTCATGTTTTTGCAGTAATTCACAGTTGTGATATTTTTTAACAGGCACCGATTCTCGCTTTAAGCTGGAAAGCTAATTTAAAGTTCTACCGTATGATGCCAGTCTTCTACATACAGTGAAAAAAGGTCCTAAAAAGAACTTTCCGATCTTTTTGGTTTGTAAACTTCAGGGACTGTGAATACGCCTTCTCTCGTCTTCACTGGTTTTTGTTGGCCTTGTCAAAGAGGGCCTTCAGCTGCTCCTGGGAGGTGGCCTCCTTCTGCTGCATCAGGTCAGCGTGACCTTTGGTGACCCCCCAACTATCGGCCGTGGCCATCGAGGGGCACAAGGGACGGCCGGACGCGGGCTTCAGCTTCTCCCAGTAGTCACGGCGGGCTCTGCAGAGAGGAAAACCTTTAACTCCAACCAGACTGGAGGTATTTTGAGAGAAAACGTGAGGTTAAAAGAAAGAAGTCTCTCCAGTACCTGGCTCTGACCCAAGGCTTCGTGTGCATCTCCAGACCACTGCCCCAGTTGCCGTGCTTCTCAGAGCCAGCAGGTAGGAAGCCCCTCTCAGGTGCCAGCTCCTCAGCCAGGGCGCGGATGTGATAGGGCTCGAATCCACAGCAGCCCCCGATGTAGCGGATGCCAACAGCGTACGCCTCCCGGGCGTATTGCTGCATGTCCCATCTGGTCAGGATCCTCGGCTCCAGACCTGTGGGAGAAAACACGGTTGTACATTATCTTTGTTTGGGTTGAGACGTTGAGAAGCAGCAGTTTGAGAGTGTGTACACGTACTGAAAGGGAACTCGGGCAGATCAATGAAACCCTGGCAGTTGCAGTCAGGAGTGTGGAAAGCGAGCGGCTGGCTCATGTAGTGAGCCTTCAGCCCGGCTTTCTCCACTCCCTCCTTCATCATCTTCACA